TCTTTTTCTTAATATTGGTAACATTCTATCTGAGTTGTTTATTTTCAAGTAGCTACCAGATTTGTATCACTAATGGATCTTTTGATTAGTGAAATATATTTATATGTCAAAAGATATTCTATGCCAAAAGATATTCTACTCCATCAGGAATATATTGTCTATTTACTTCTAAGGTAAAACACCACTTAGGATTTGTTTTAAGATCCCAAATTTTGGGGATGTAACCTCTTTAATACATATTCTAACCTGAATTAAATTTTTTTCCCTAATTGTACCCTTTAAGCACAGAAAAAATAACTCTTAAGATTAAATAGAAACCGTCCAATTTTAGAGGGTGCGATCTAAGCGTTAGAAAAGTCAAATTTCAATTTTTTTTTTTTTGAATAATCATCGAGTGATTCTAAGGTGGTTACCAATATTTCAAATTCACAAAATCCTCCAAAGTTGGTCATGTGACGAATGGAGTAGAAGTAAACTATGTTCCCGAGGGAGGATAGTATACATGCTCTTTATATATTTTTGGATCAGTATAAGAAATTCCAGTGCCTCAATAAAGGAAAAAGTTTATATAAGGATGCACCCTTATAATGTAGAACTGCTGATGTCCCTCAAAAATCCATTGGAAAAGATAGTTTTAGTGTTGAAAAACCCTTTGATTGATCATCTCGACATCGAGACGTATGACCATGAAAAATAAAAAGATTTTAAGTCTCAGAAATAGTGCATTTTACAATATATTATCTACACCATCCATTTTCAAGATTTTCATATGTTTATAGATCTACTTGATTTTAACTATTTTTGAAGTTTAAAATTTTATAATTAGATAGAAAAATAGATTTTGAGATAATCTTAAAAACATTTTACATCAAAATTATATACCATGATAACAGTTGAAGGTGCACCTTACCTCTACAGCTACAGATGCATCTGTATGCCAACTGCACCCCTCAATAACATTGTCCTTTTTATGCATGACTTAATTGTTTCTAGTAAGATTGTATCATTATGCTAAGATCTCTTTTTTAATATGCAAATGTAAATTATCAAACTTATTTACTTTTAGTGGAAAGAAGTCACAATCATTATTGACCGTTAAATATAATATTAAGTTGCTGGGGATAAGTTGTTGATTAAGCATAAAGTATAAAACAAAATTTGTTGAACAATATAAAATATTTTTAATTATTAAACAATCAGATTTCACATCTGATTACTAAAAGTAATATTGACTCCCTCATAGTATACAATAATTCACTCTATGGTTTCCAAAACATTGCATTAAGGGTAGTTTGACTTCAATGGCTTATCAAATATTTATTTTCAAAATACGGCTCTAAATCACTGCAGGATAAGCCATATTCAAGTTTGACGTTGCTTGGTGACTATTATCTATAGCCATCCACTTCGATGACAGACAGTTAATCATCGACAGTTAAGACGATTCATGTCTTGTACCTAATTAAGTTGAATAAAATCATTGAACACCGATATAAGAACTGGAATCAGCTCCTTAATCTCCAAAGGTCCGATTTCCATTCGATTAATCTGACTCGATGAAATTCCGAACTAAAAAGATTTGAACAAAACACGACGAATTCAGAGAATTTAGGGTTCCTCAAACAGGAATTTGTTATCTCCAGATGGCAACTTGGACAGGTAGTTTTTTAAAATGAGCGGTGGAAACCATGATGGTGTATATTTTGAGGGGAACTAGAAATGGAAACCATGATGGGGTATATTTTGGAGGGAACTAGAAAGTCATGATAATGGTTTTCCCTTTCGTGGATTTTCTTCTTTGGGAACATGATTTACACGATTGTGGTGGAATATATGCTTTTTCAAAGAATGGAAATGCAAATCCATTTCTCTTTGACGCATGGCGCTCTTTTGTTCCGTCCACCCAAAACACTAGCTTTAAGACTGAAAAAGAAGGAAGAAACAAAACTTTTGGACATAACAAGCCACTTTTAGCTTAAGGGCCAACTTTTATTAAAAGCCCAAAGTTTGTAATACACACAGGCCTCTCTCTTAACCAATTTTGAAAGAAGTCCACTTTTGTCCCACTTTGTATAAAGGAAAAAAGCTTATATAAGGTTGGAATCTAATATTGTAGAAAAGGGTGTTATGAAGTTTGAAAAACCTTCTAATTGATCACCTTGATTTCCTTCTAATTGATTATCTTGATTTCGAGGTGTATAGTATGAAAAAAGAAAAAAAAAATTTCAAATCTTAAATATAATTAATCTTGTAATAAGTTATTTGTACTATTTATTTACAAGATTTTGAAATGTTTATAGATCTGCTCAATTTGCATCAATTCAGTTTTAAAATTTTAAATTTTATAATTAGGTTGATCATAAATTATGAAGCTATCATAATATTTTCGATACCAAAACTACCTCTTTCGACAAAAATTAAAGGTGCCTCTTGTGAAAACAAAAATATATATTGTCTACCCAGTTAATATGGAAGGTCTACATTATAATTAGTATATATAAGAAGGATAGGTATAATATTTTGTATTTTATGGTAAATTTGGGAGAAGTATCTACGCAACGCCTATGGGCGAAATGCTACAGTGATTTCGCCTATAGGCCAATCGCCGTCTGAAAAAATTGGACGGCGTGCGTTTTTCGACCGTTACGGACATAGCATGTCCATGACGATTCTGGTCGGATTTGATGCTATCCAAAATTAGCCACATAAAGAAATCCTATATTATGTGGGATTGAGATATTCTTATATTACGTAGGATTGAGGTTGAGATTGATATTGATAAGTTTTTTAAAGGAAATATAAATCCTATAGAATTAGAACTTTTGAATATATCACTTAGTTTTTTGAGATATGTATAACATCAATAGAAAGTTTTTTATTTAGTATGGATTCCTAATCTTATATATATATATATATATATATATATATATATATATATGTGAGTATAGAAGTAGTAGTAGTAAGTTTGTTGTTAGTTCGTTTAGTTTGGTT